GCAGTGCAAAATATCTCACCTGCACTTATCTTGCTGCAGTTGGTAGCAGAACCTCCCAAATTGGCCGAATATCAAGCTTACATTGACTTTGAGCTGAAGGAGGGCGACCCAGCACGTGTCCAGATCATGTTTGAACGGGCTTTGGCTGAGAACTGCCTGGTACCAGACATGTGGACTAAATACACCACATATCTCGTAAGTATTGTCAGGGACTGACATCATCCATGACCTTCCTTAAATCTAACCCTTTACTTGTTTAGTGTAGGTGTTAAACTAAAGCTAACTTGTTTTGCCCTTGGTTTAGTTAGACTTTTATGTGTATTTCCAAGAAATAAAAACAAGCTCATATTTCAATTTTATAGGTTTTAATTAATTTTTCATTTGTGTCTTATGGTGTCGATATTTGCTGTATAAACATAGTTTTAAGCAACGCATCGAACTCTCACAATTTTGTTTGCTTGTTCTACAGTAAAAGCTGCTTGGCAAGACCATTCAGATGTTCTTTCTATTTTTTTATGATTAATTTCATTTTATTTAGGATCGTCAGTTGAAGATCAAAGATTTGGTCCTGTCCACTCACGAGCGAGCCGTCAGGAACTGTCCCTGGACCATGAGTCTATGGAAGAGCTACCTTCAGGCTCTGGAGAGACATGGGGCAGACCATCAGATTGTATCAGGTATCAGCTGACATGATGATTGACGGAGCACAATGTTGATGGAGTTTTTTTTAATTTGGGTTTCCTTTGTAAGAAACATCCAGTTGATTTTATAGTGTTGCTAAATCTCTGCTCCTTCTCCACAGATGTTTTTGAAAAAGCCCTAAATGCCGGTTTCATCCAAGCCACAGATTATGTAGAAATATGGCAGGCCTTTCTCGACTACCTGAGAAGACGTGTGGACTTCAGTAAAGGTTGGATCACCTCTTCAAACAATAATTTGTTTTGGGCTCACTTCTTGCTCAGGGTTTTGCATTTCTCTTTTTCTAGAATCCAGTAAAGAGTTGGAAGAGCTACGTGCTGCCTTCGCTCGGTCTATAGAATACCTGAAACAAGATGTTGAAGAACGTAGGTGAATTTCCCTGAACTTGCTTTGATGTTGTCTCAGGGCTGTTTACAAGACAAAAAAATTTATGTATTTTTTAAACAGGGATATGTTGTCCAATCAATCCTTTGTTAGGAAGGATGGAAATGCCTTGTTACGTTGTTATTGCTCGATCGATGAACAGTTTTTACGCAAAATTGGGAATATTGTATGAATGTATTTTCCCATGTATTTACTTTAAAATGATCCTCTATGTTGTGTCTCCCCAGGTTTTGGTGAAAGTGGCGACCCTTCTTGTGTCATCATGCAGATTTGGGCTCGGATAGAGGTAAGCAGGCTGTCTGTGACCAACAGTTTTTATAGAGTAATCATGTTATCATTTAGAGTTTTATGTAGAAATGCACTTATCCACTTTTTTCTGATCCAATCCAATACTAATACCTGGGCTGAACGTATCGGCTGATACTGAACCAATTCAAATGCAGATAGGGCTGTGGGGTGTGAAGAAAATCTTATACCACGATATATTTGGGCTATAATCGCGATACACAAAATATCACGATATGTTTAAATTACCTTCAAAAACAATTAAGTGCATAAAATTGCACTGATTTACTCATTCAAACTTTTGGTTTCAAATTTAAAATATTTTGTTTTAAACAGCTCAAAGCTTTTCACTAATAATACTGCTACATTATGTCTTTTTGGTTTATTAGACCTTTAACAAGATCCCAGCAACCAAACATGAAACGAAGCAAAAACACACAATGCTTAATAAAATGTAGACTTTATTTGTATTTCTGGTGGAAAATAAGTATTTGGTCACCCACAAACCAGCAAGACTTCTTGCTCTCACAGACCTGTAACTTCTTCTTTAAGAAGCTCTTCTGCCCTCCACTCATTACCTGTATTATTGGCACCTGTGTTAACCTGTTATCTGTATAAAAGACCTGTCCACAGCCTCAGTCACACTCAAAACTCAACCATGGCCAACACCAAATAGTTGTCGAAGGACACCAGGGAGAAATTTGTAGACCTGCACCAGGCTGGGATGAACCTTCCCAGCCTCCTGCAGGGAAAGAGCCACGCACGATCTCATCCTGTGGGGTCAAAATGTTCATGAGAGCAGTGAGCAAAAATGGAGGGACCTGATGAATGACCTGCAGAGAGCTGGGAACAAAGTAACAAAGGCTGTCATAAGTAACACCCTACACCGAGAGGGATTCAAATCCTGCAGTGCCAGACGTGTCCCCCTGCTCAAGCCAGTGCATGTCCACGCCCACCTCAAGTTTGCCAGTGAGTGTACAGATGATCGGGAAGAGGATTGGGAGAATTTCACGTGGTCAGATGAAACCAATATAGAACTCTTTCTTAAAAACCCAACTTGTCGTGTTTGGAGGAAGAAGAATGCAGAGTTGCATCCTAACAATACCATACCTGTGAAGCATAGCGGAGGAAACATCATGCTTTGGGGCTGTTTTTTTTCTGCAAAGGGGATAGAAAAACTGATCGGTGTTGAGGGAAGAATGAACGGGGCCATGTATCGTGAGATTTTAAGTCAAAACCAGCGACAGCCCCAAAAACATCACTGCTCTAGGGGATATCTTCATGGAGGAATGGGCCAAAATACCAGCTACAGTGTGTGCCAACCTGGTGAAGAATTATAGGAATCGTTTGACCTCTTTCATTACCAACACAAGTTTTGTTCCAAAGTATTGAGTTGAACTTTAGGTATTGACCAAATACTTCTTTTCCACCAAAATTTACAAATACATTATTCAGAAATCCTACACTGTGATTTCTGTTTTTTTTTTCTTCCTCATTTTGTCTCTCATAGTTTAAGTTTCCCTATGATGAAAATGACAGACCTCTCTCATTTTTCTAAGTAGGAGAACTTACAGAATCAGTGGCTGACTAAATACATTTTGGCCCCACTGCAAATGCACCTTATATTATTTATTAACACATAAGAAGCAAAAAGAAAACAATAACAGTTCCATGTAAAGTACACTGGATTGGATCTCGTACATCAGATATCTGATCCAGCTAATTAGTCAATATTGTAGCCGATATCCATTCCAAGTATTGGATTAATGCATCGTCAGTTTTATGACCCTCTTCTTTAACCCTGCTTTTAACACACCTTGAGTTGTTGTTAGTATTTATACCATGAGTCAGTTGTGTATTTTAATTTATTTCTCTCATTTTATTTCCGATTGTTTAGTTTTACATTCTATTAATCTTTCTTATTGATATATACAGCACTTTGGCTAACAAGCAGTTTTTAAATGTGCCTTATAAATAATTTGGGCTGGATTACATAACACATGTTTTAAAAAATTAATTTAAAATACAGTTTTACCTGTTGGATATTTATTGTTGTCCAATCTTTCAGAATAAAGGAGTTATTCTTCATGTTATTCTCTTACCAGGCTCATCACTGCAAGAACATGCAGAAAGCAAGAGAACTGTGGGATAATATCATGACTAAAGGGAATGCCAAATATGCCAACATGTGGCTGGAATACTATAACCTTGAGAGGTTTGTCTGATGAATCATAAGAGGCAAACTGTAGGTTACCTGTATTTGCTGAAGCTTTTGGGAGTAATGCCCTAACCTTTTCCTCTTGTGTAATCCATAGAGCTTATGGGGACATGGCTCACTGCAGAAAGGCTCTCCACAGAGCGGTTCAGTGCACTTCAGATTACCCAGAACACGTGTGTGAAGTCCTGCTCACCTTTGAGAGGGTAGAAGGTGAGTTTAATCCTGGAGATAACACAACCTTAATCTGTTTCTTTACAAACGTCTTATTAGGGTGCATTTTTACTTCAGAAAGCTTCTCTGGGGTCCCGGGTTGTTTTGTGGTTTTCTCGTTTTCGTTTCGTTTCGTTTCGTCGTCTCCCGCTTTATCCGGAACCGGGTCGCGGGGGCAGCAGACTAAGCAGAGACTCCCAGACTTCCCTCTCCGCAGACACCTCCTCGTTTTCTATGATGGTTAAAACATTACCAAGATATATTTGTTGATGTCCAAATATTTCTGATTGATTTCTGAATAGATTTCCCTCAGCAGGGAACCTTTGTGATTTTAGCTTAAACTCACCTGCGCTTTAAATTTGGGTTGAATAAAATAAGGCAGGCTGTTGCATGTGTTTGTTTGAACATCAGTTTATTTGTCTTGCAAAGGTTAAAGGAGAAGTCTGGTCATATTCAGAATTCGAAATTCTGGAAGAACTTTAAATATGAAATTATTAAATAGTGTTCAATAAATGATAAGTGTTTTTATTTAAGATAAATTTTCATTTGAATGTGATTTACCGGAGACATCCATGTTTGTCAAAGAGCACTACTGCCACCTACTGGTTTGTGACATCATGGTGTGGGATCGGCTAATGATCAATTCCCAGTGCTGTATCTGGTGTTTTTTTTACAATCACCATTATCCAAGTCATCTTGAAAACATTCGTTTTCGAAATCTTGGCTACATATGACGTGTTTTTTATCTGGCCAGAAATTTTATGGCAAATCCTCCCTCTTCAAGTTGGCAATCCAACAATGAACCCGTCTGTAAACCGTAAATATGAAATAACTCCTTTTTTCTCCACTTTTACCCGACGTATTATAACGTCCGTCTGCCATGCTCGTGGGCATTGTCACTTTAACAATAGCTTTTGCAAATTTCAACAGTGAAATCTTCTGGAAATCTTCAATAATTGTGCAGGAGTCCTTGCAGATCTATGTGTTTGCAATTTATATGTATTATGTGTTTATCCTTTTGAACTAAGTTCCTTAGCTTTTTTTAATAACATTGAAGTATATAAAGTAATAGTGCAATTGTGGGCAATACACATTTCAAATGCTTCATCTTAGACGTTGTTGTCATGTTGTTTTATGTTATTCACACATAAATTCATAATGTAGAAAAAAGAATACAGATAGACTTAGAAATACAACAGATTTAGGAGAAAAAGGGGAACCTTTTATTAAACTAATGACATTGAAAGCTCATATAAACATCACTTGTATAACTCGTATTGTTAACACTATTGACAACCATTCAGAAAGAGTGCAGAGTGACCTTAACTCATCTAACACCATATAACATGGTAAAAGTGGCTCAGAATATTTAAGAGACAAAAATACATTTGTATATTGGATGTTTGGTTTTGTGTGTCAGTAAATCAATCTAGATCCAATATCCACCTTCAAAAGCTGCACAACAGGAAAATAAGATACTTGCAGAGATATTTAATGTTTCTGCTAATTTCAAATAGCTGACATTGGTAGATGTGATGCTTGGCCACATGTGTGAAGGCAGATAAAAATCATGCTGGCTCTGGTGAAAGTGCATTAATCGTATTTTTATATAAAAATACCATGGATTTGTACAAGTCTTGACTTTATTTAACAACTAAAACATTTACATATATATCCTTTGAAATCATTGTATTTTATGATGTAATTCAGGAAAACTCCACCTTGTAAAATCACATTTTTGAAGAGCATTTTTTTTTCCATTTAAACCCACTAAATGATCACTTCAACAGTAAGCTAATGCCTCTAAATGTGTGTAGAAGCTCTGCCGTCCATGGAGCTGGACCTGGACAGGTACCGGCTGGTGGTGCGGCCTTCATCGACCATTGCATTCTCCATCTTGGAGAGTACAGAGCTCTTGAACTTCTGCTTGAAGTCGTTTCCCATGAAGACGTAGAGCAATGGGTTAAGGAAGCTGTTAGCTGATGCTAAAATTGAGCCCATTTGGAGTCCAGCGGTTAAAATATAGAAGTCGTGGTTTTGAGGGTTCAGCTCAAGTAAGACAAAAATGTGATACGGCAGCCAGCAGACGAAAAATGCAGCAATGAGCATTGTCATTACTTTGAAGGGTTTGGAGGATTTTGTCATCCTGTTGTTTTTGAGTTTGAGGATAATGATGGAATAACAGATGATAATTATGATAAAAGGAACCACAAAACCTGCAATGAGACGGGTAAAGGCAACAGCCTGGTGATTTTGTTTTGAGGTGTAATTGTTGCTGCAAGTGTGCCTGCCATCACTCCCAACATGTACATCCCGATAAATCATGGAGGGGACGCTAAATCTGATTGCAAGAAGCCAAGAAAACACAACCACAGCTGATGCCTTTTGAACAGATCTGTGGTTTTGTGCCCAAACTGGAAACATTACAGACACACAGCGGTCCACGCTTATGACGACGAGGAGGAAGATGCTGCTGAACATGTTAATGAATAATGCAGAAGATGTAAACTTGCACATGAAGAGACCGAAGATCCACTCTTTCATCACTAAGTTGGCAATGTTAAATGGCAGGAAGACACAAAAGAGGAAGTCAGAGATTGCAAGGCTCAGGTACCAAGTGGTGTTCACTGTCTTCCTCATCTTAAAGCCAGAGATCCAAATGACCAGCATGTTCCCAAAAAAGCCCAGCAGGTAAATTACCACATAGATTACAGCCAGAGACACACACATGCCTTCTTCGCTGCAAGCTGGTTTGTGTTGGAATGAGTTTTCCACATTTATGGTGATGTTGTCCTCAGTGTAGTTAAAATATTCATAGAGCCAGTTGTATGTCTCAATTACACTGTCAAAATCATATTCGATGAACAAGTCGTCAAAACTGTCTGCATCCTCCATTTTGCCTTGTAGAACAAAGATAAAATTTCTGTGAGATTTTTCTTTAGCAAACATAGCAACATTATCCAAAAAGTTGCATTAATTTTGGTTGATTTAAAATGAAGACTTAGTAACATCAAAGTGATCAGTTAAACCATACCTTTATTCTCAGATCCTCTGCTGCTGTCTTTTTGTGGTTGGTTTGGTCTAAGCTGAGCACCGTCTGAGCTGCTCCGTTTCATTTAGATATTTTAGAAACGGCATGATCAGCTGACATGGGAGGTTTCTCAATACTTGCATCCCCTTAATGATTTCAGTACTGCATTTTGAGCTCTTGATCTCCTAATTTTTATTTTCCTCAATGACCGAAGTAGGACCCCAACTTTTCTTCCAGATGTTAGATTTAATGCTCAGGAAGATTCAACAGCTGTAGTTAAACGGACAGCTAATAATATTGAGTGATTGAGCTTATTGTGATCGCTTCACATTGAAGAGGACATAAAACTGAGTTTTGTCTACATTTTCTTTACTGTACCGAAAAAGCAGAAGTGATATCTTCCAAACAGACAAATAAAGGCGTATATAAAACAACAAAGAATGGAAAAGACTTTTCAAACTGACACCCTGCTTCTGATCCCTGAGTTTCAGAGTAAAACTGACAGATTTCTTATCTATATTAACCAGTCAATGTGCTTTATCCCATGAATCTAGACAAATATTAATACATCACTTCTACTTTTTTTTTAGCATTAGCAACACCATCCTTATGAACATATAAAAGAAGTGTCCTGATGTCTAAATCATTGTGTGTTTTGGTGTTCTGTACACAAGGTTTTATGTTTTTATGAATCCATTTAGAGTTTCGGTCTTAGTTGCTTTGTGTTTTCAGTTTCCTGGTTTTTCTTCTTCTATTTCAAGGGTATCGGACACGGACACAGACTTCTACTTTATGACATATGTCTTTCTTGGGTCTTGGGGGGCCATATACAAGGCTGTGATGGTTCTGATCGGCCAGTGGGCCTTAAGTTGGACACATGTTCTCTGTGTTAGTTTTGTCCAAACATTTTCCCTCATCAGATTTCTTCTGTCTTTGCCCTCTGATCCCACTAATCTGTTTTTACATCGGATATGATAAAATATAAGATTGTGTGCTTTGGTTTTAGGTGTATGTATCAAAAATAAAATCAAACTTGTGCATATACTTATTTCTTTTAAAATTAATCACTTATCAGTCCTTCAAGGGAGCAAGAAATAAAACCTGGGGAGAAATAAAACTATTAGAAAACATATAAGAAGTTAAAGGATTAAAAAGAAAAGACAAAACTACAAATAATTCAGAACCAAAGTAACAAATCCGGTTCTCTTTTATCATCATTGTTAAGTAGAGAACCAGGGAAATGGAACATTTCTGAAATTGAGAAATACCAAAAATCCAAAAATTTATTTTAACAATTCAGAGTTATTAATACCTGTAATTATGAATTTCATTTTTACAATGAAAACCAAAATAGTTTCACATTCCTTTTCTGTGTCACTCCTAAACCTCATGTAGCTATCTGGTAAATTAGGAACTAATAGATTGTATAAGCCAGAATATCTGATTTACTTAGATGCAAGATCACTTTAAAAACCTGCCTTGGAGATTACATTTTTAACTGAAGGCTAAGATTATAAATATTCAAACACATGCATGCTAGAAAAGGTGAAGACTTCATTTGTGAAACGCTCTGGTGTCTCTGTAATGAATCATGGACTCTTGTTCTACAGTTTAGAAGATGCCAAAAGGGGTCTTTTAGATTCAATTCAGCTTTAATGGCGTCATCAAAAGGAATGATCTATACTGGTGACCTGTTTACCGACTGATTTATTTATTTACCTGACAGTTTCAGATTGTTAGAAGGGTAGCATCACTAAAAAAGAAAAGGGTCTTAACTCTGACACTCAGACTGTTAGCTATGGTTTCGTTTCTGTAAAAAAGGTTGTGTGTTGTATTTTTCAGTAGTCAGCACTTTATGCCAGCGCTTTTAGTTGATGGCTCTAAAATCCTAAAACTTCACCAATAAACTCTGACAAGTGCTAATGAGAGAAATATGCATTCAAAGGGTGGTGTTAGGATTACTCATTCCTAAGAAAAGACACACTGATAAAAGATCAGTTTGATCTAGGAACTTAAAAATGGAATAGTTTTTAGATAAACTTAACTCTGTCTCCATTCTGTGTCTACATATCTATGTCCCTTCAATCCACTTGATCAAATTCTCCCCTATTGTGAGAAATAATATTTTGGGATGACCCACATAAAAATAAAAAAAATATTGGCACAGATTTATTGCACTAATTTTACCTTGTACCCTTTTTTGCTTTGAATCTCTGAACTAATGCTGCAAGAAAAACAACAACCATGGCAGATGACGATGCAGAGAGCAGTATTTGTGTTCAACCATATTGAAAAGGTTATGTTTTTTATGGTTGGGAAAGATTGCTAAATGCGCGCCTGCCCTACCATCCATGTTTACTTCGGTAAACACAGAGCACGCTGGCCTGTGAAGTGATTGCGTCCTCTACTGTGCTTGCGGGACACTTGCGTTGAATGACTGCAGTTCACACAGGAGATCGCATACAAGTTGCATATGGGCATATGAACAGCAACGCAAAAAAAAAATTTAAAAATCGGATTTCGGAATTGAGCATCAAGGCCTGCAGTGTGAACGTAGCCTGAGGTCTTGAACTCCCAAAGATCTGCGATTTTTGTGATTATTTTGCAAGTGATTGTTTTCAACTTCTCACATTGTTAATTCTGTTTACAGAAAAGTTGGTCTGATCCAGGAAATTAATCTGTTTTTAAAAGTTAAAGTACAACATTTATTGGAGGTGATTACGATTATTCATTCATCTCAGTTTATTTATCCAGTGCCAATTCACAGCATGTCTTCACTAACATAATTCCCAGAATTTCTGCTTTAGCAGCTTTAAGTAATGCTGTTTAATGGCTTTAGCTACAACTAATGCACTAGTGTTTACTCTGCACCTCCAAAAGAGAGAAGTAATGAAGCTTTAAGGCATGCATAATTAAGTGAGACCATCTTGTGAAATGCTTTCAATGTTTCCGAGAAATCATTCGTTTTGTATGTTCCTGGTAGCTGCCACACATAGTGAGCAACATGAGCAACTGCACCCTGATGACCAAAATACGACCCTAACTTTTCTTGCAGATGTTAGATTTAATTCTCAGAAAAATTCAACAGCTGGAGTTAAAAGGACAGCTATTTATACTGAGTGAGTGAGCTTAATGTGATAACTTAATAAATCAAATAAATCAAATTCTCCCCTATTGTGAGAAATCATATTTTGGGATGACCCACATAAAAATGAAAAAAAAAAAAAAAATATTGGCACAAATTTATTGCTCTAATTTTACCTTTGTACCCTTTTTTTGCTTTGAATCTCTAAACAAATGCTGCATTATTTCAGCTGATTCTTAAAAAACGTCCTGTTCCTCATAGATGTTTTAACAGGATATGTGGCAGCTAATTTTAGCTTTGCATTTCTAACAACTAGCTACAGCACACAGTCAGACCTAAAAAATAAAATGTGCTGTGCAAATTATGCACACTTACGGAAATTGTAGTTCATTTCATCTCTAAAGAGATGGAGCCATTTGATTAAGTAAAAAAAAAAAAAAAAAAGTTGCAAACTTTACACAAAAGCTATGAAAAGGCCCAAACTATGACAATGAGGTGAAGGGTTTATTTGGGTTTTATTTCCAAATATTTCTTGGTTTTATTTTTGTTTTAATGCGTTTTTTCTGTTAAAGACTGAAATCCATTAGATTAATTTTGGATATTCATTATGTCTGCAATTCCAGCGTTCTTTAGTAATTTGTATCTTTGAGAGAGTATGCTTATATTATTTTGCCATTATCATTTTAGAAGTTAAAATGGCCTTACAACAACAACAACATTATTTGTTATTTAATCATTGCTGGGATAATAAACCATCCAGCAAAATATCTTATCATGTCAGGCCTATTCAGGAGTTTGAATCTTGAAATTCATTTCAAATCTGTAATTACACGCTTTCAGATAGTTTAAAGTGACTTTGGTTGGCATTTAAATCAATGTGCAGAGGTCCATACACTGATCTGATCTGTTATGTAATTGAAAGTATTGAATCGGGTGGCATTATAACTAATATAAAGCACTTTTTCTCCTCATTATCAATCAAAAATAATTAAATACATTTTCCTCCACCTTTGTGTTGCTGTTGTTTTCTTTTGCGGGTGGGACGTTAGCAACAGTGGGTGGATCTTTATTAGTTCAGCAGCAGAGCTTTCTCGTAAAGCATGGATATTACAAGTCAAAACTTTTTTTATTGCCACCTTCAGAACAAGAACACATTTCTTGGTTCTTGCGGGATATGTAACAACCTTAAAACTATTTAAGCTGCACAACATCAATTATACAATTTAACATAAAAAAATGCATCTTTCAAAAACATTCTCTCTCCTGCAGTAGAACAAATGATCCACTTAGTATCAACAAACAAAAATCCCGGTTTTGTGCAAACGCATACAGCATATGGCCTGGGTATAAAATTAGATGTTATGTAACTAATTTCATTGTTTAAAGACATATTTGTTTATATTAGAATGAAGAACGTCTGTCTTCTCAGTGAGCCTAAACAGCACTCAGATATTTAGCTTACATTTTTCACTGAGTTGTTAGCCGCATTCCAAGCGCTAAACAGGATTTCTACTGCAGTTTTCCACATTATGGTTCCCTGCAATGGTTTGCTGCAAATTTATTTATGTTTTTAAATTTAAGAACTCAATAATTGCATCTGATCCAATTGTGAACAGTTTATTTGTAGCCAGTGTAACCAACTGGCTGTGAACATTTTCCCTTCAATCAACAGCTTGGAATCTGGTTTGATAGAGTTAATGTAGTGGTACTTAGAGGTTCTGGAGATATCCATTTTGCAGGTAGCTTTGCTTTATCAATCAAAACAACACGCAGTAAGAACTTGAATCGATATTTTTTGATGTTCCATTTCTAATGCAGGTACTTTGGAGGACTGGGACACAGCAGTGCAAAAGACAGAGACGAGGCTAAACAGGATAAACGAGCAGAGAGCAAAGGTAGCAGCACCATTTAGTGATGCACTGTGTGCTAGCATATCATTTGGCCGTGTGTGGATAATCTTTTTGTTTTTCCCCGTCTGTC